TGACCAAATTCCTACAAGCAACATTATATTGACATTTAACCGGCCTCATCTACCGTCTAATATCCGCGTTGGGTACGCCGTTGTCAAAGTCAGAGTCTTCGTTCCAAATCCGATGCAATTTTTCTCAATGCCAGCGCTTTGGTCATACAAAACCACACGGCCCGCAATCGAGCTGTCTGTGGGAAGTGTGCATCTCTAGAACATTCGGGAGACCAGTGTACTTCTGTGCAGCCCTGGTGCGTGAAATGTGGCACGGGGCAGGTACCGCACACAGTTTTCGATCAAAGTTGTCCAGCCCTCATGAAGAAAAAGAAAATTATGTCACTCAAAACCTCAAAGAACATCTCTTTCCACCAGGCGCGTGAACAGTATAAGGCTAATCACCCCAAAGTATCTTACGCCGAAAAATCCAAAACCTCTGTACTACAGTCCACCAGCATCAATCACATGTCAGCGGTCCAATTCATCGCGCTCCTGCGATCCTTCCGTTTGTCTGTGGTGTCGGCGGGACGGGCGACTCCCGCCCAGTTGGATCCTCCGGGTCCTTCAGCTGCGTCCTGTTCGCCCAACGCTGTGCCGCCGGCCCCTCAGGTGTCATCGGGGTCGCTAACGGGGGAGGAAGAGGGATGGACGGTGGTCAAGCGCGGCCATGGTCTGCGGGCTCGGCCGTCCTCGCCGTCTGGCGCACCGCTGCCCTCGTCGCCTCCGGCGACACTGGCGAGTGCGTGCGGACGGGCAGCGGAAACGATGGAACGGCATAAGGCAGGCAGGCGCGCCCGCGACGCCAAGCGGGCCCGCTTGGCCGAGTTGGAGAGGGCTAAGGCGGCCAATCGTTTGTCCGGTGCAAGCAAGGAGCCCGCCCCTCGCAGTGGTACCCCATCGCCCAGAAGGCCAGTGGAGGCCCCCGCTGACCCCCAGACGCCTGGCAGAGGCCTGACGATGAGCCCTCCTCCGCCGCCACCCCGGACTGGGTACGCTGGCGTGAAGCGTGCCCCGGCCGGTCCCCCGTCTCCGTCGGACGGAGGGAGCCACAGAACTTGTCCCAGAGTGGGGCACGTTCCCGCAGAATCGAGCCGTGGCTCTCAGTCTGAAACGTCTGCTCGTGCAACTGGCGCAGTCCAGTTCATTTAGGACGTGTCCGGTTTTAGTATGTGACCTCTAACGGCCCTTTTAACACGCCCCCTTTACAGGCATTTTTACAGTGGAACTGTAGAGGAATAAGGGCGAATGTCCTCAACCTCCAGGCTGTCGTCAGCCGTAGCGCTGCAAGAGACCAAGCTTGCTTCTGGTCACCACTGCACGCTGAAGGGATACGCCCTGTTTCGCAACGATGTGTTAACCGACGGTATCGCACACGGCGGTGTCCTCCTTGCACACAGCGTGCCAGCCAGGAGGTTAAACCTGCGTTCTACGCTACAGGCTGTAGCCGCACACCTACATTTTAATCAACGTCACATCACAGTGTGTTCCTTATATCTTCCACCTGGTGTCGCTTTTCTATTGGAATAGATGAGGCGTTTAGTGTATGATTTGCCTTCACCACTTCTTCTTTTAGGCGACTTAAACGCTCATCACACTGCGTGGGGCTGGGATAGCACGAACACCAGTGGAAGGATTTGCGAACATTTTATCCATGACTTGTTACTGTGTGTTTTAAATACAAGGACTCGTACCCATTTCACACTTCCGTGTGGTCAGACTTCCGCGCTTGATTTGAGTATTTCTGGTCCCGAGCTGGTGGAAAGCCTCGAGCGGTCTGTGGCAGATGATCCAATGGGCAGTGATCACTTCCCAGTATGGCTTCGATTCCAGATAAGGAAAACGTTTGGTGTAAGACCACGACGTTGGTATTAAAAAAAACTAAATGGGGTGAGTTTCAAGCTCGACTGGAGACACTGTGCCAAACCGAAAGTGAGAGGATGGCCCCCTCTATTGAGAATTTTACTCACTGACTTCTAGATTGCGCTAGCGATTACATCCTGCGCTCTTCTGGATTTCTCCGTCGCACTCCTGTGCCGTGGTGGACAGAGAAGTGTCGTGGCGCAATTCGCGCTCGCAAACGTGATTTCCGAGCTTTTGACGCCAGAAGTAACCTGGATAATTAAGTAGCTTTTAAGAACGCGAGAGCTTTCGCCCGTCGCACGATAAAAGAAGTGAAACGTGAATCCTGACGTGTGCATGTAAGCACGCCTAGCAGATTCACGCCAACTTCGCGGGTTTGGGCTCGGATCAAGCGCATCTCTGGAAAGTTTTCATCCGCGCCACTTCCTGTGCTACATGATAACGACCAGGTGGTGACTCATCCGTTAGATGTGGCTGACGAGATCGCCCGAGCACTCTCCCGCCGTAGCGAAGGTGCAAACACGAGCCCACTGTTCTTACGGCAAAGAGCGCAATGCGACAAAATCGTGGTGGACTTTTCACAAGGCGACCACAGGCGTACAATGAGCCCTTCACTTTGGTGGAGCTGGAGTCGGCAATTACAAAGCTTCGTAGTGCATCGGAAGGTCCTGATGGCATCCACAATGAGATGCTCCGACATCTGCCACCGTGTGCACGTCGCATACTGTTGGAGGCCTTCAACAGGATATGGTCAAGTGGTGAATTCCCTCCGGCCTGGCCGGAGGCTGTTGTGGTGCCTATTCTAAAACCGGGAAAGAGTGGGATAGACCCTCTTCATTACCGACCCATTTCACTGACGTCATCACTGTGCAAGCTCATGGAAAGAATGGTAAACGTTCGACTCACCTGGTTTTTGGAGAACAACGTTATTTTTAGTAACTCGCAGCGCGGGTTTAGAAAAAAACTGTAGTACGGTGAACCACCTTCTAGCTTTGGACACTACGATTCGTAAGGCTTTTCAAGAGCAAGCGCATATGGGGACAGTGTTCTTTGACATTGAAGCCGCCTATGACGCCACATGGCGCCATGGTATTCTTCAAAAGCTTTATAAGTATGGTATACGTGGCCATATGGGTACTTTTCTCCAACAGTTTTTAGCCAAACGATATTTCCGTGTTCGGGTCGGCAACGTCCTCTCCGATAAGTACCAACAAATAAACGGCGTGCCCCAGGGTGGCATGTTAAGAGTAGCGCTGTTCGCAGTTATGATAAACGATATTTGTGATGTGCTCCCCCAGTCGGTCGGACGTGCCCTTTTTGTTGACGATTTTACTATTTGGACTACTGCAGCGAGGGCACCAGCGATGGAGCGACGCGAGCAGCTGGCTGTGGACCGCGTTGAAAGATGGGGTGGCATGAATGGGTTTTGTTTTTCGGGCGATAAGGCCGTTGCAATGCATTTTTGTCGTCGCCAGAGATGTGATGACCTCAGCATCCGTCTATATGGTCGCTCTATTCCAAATAAGGCCGTGGCCAAGTACCTTGGGATGCACGTTGGCCGCCGCCTTACATATAACGCACATATTAAAATGTTACGCGACCGCTGCTTTAAATCTCTCAACAAACTGAAGTGTGTGTCTCGCACGTCATATGGGGCAGACAGAAGCACGCTTATGCTTTTGTATCGTTCACTCGTCCGCTTCAAACTGGATTATGCATGCTTTGTGTATGATGGCGCGTCTGAATGCAGCAAGCGTGTTCTTGATACCGTCCACCATACTGCCATTCGTATTGTTACTGGAGCGTTCCGCACATCACCTTCCGCCAGCCTTTTAACGGAGGCACACGAGCCACCACTTTCGACGAGGAGGAAAATGCTCGGCATACGTTATGCCTTGAATCTGCTGCAGTTTCCACTTCATCCGACATAGTCTGCAGTACTTTCTCGGCTTGCCCTGAGTTCCCTCCGTGATGGGCCGCAGCAGCACGCTTTAACTTTTGGTTTCAACCGTTGGTTTCCGAATGAGAGCCTTATTGCTCGAAGGCGGAATTCCTCTTCGAGGTGTAAAGCTAGTAAGCCACCTGGCTTCTCCTCCTTTGCAAACGACCATACTCTTCATTGACACCCCGCTTACGGAAATTAGGAAAAAGACGTCACACCACACCTAATGAGATCCAGGGCACTTGAGGTTCTGGCGTTTTATGAAGGATACACTCTGACGTACACAGACGGATCCAAAACCTCGTATGACGTGGGTTATGCTTTCGTCAACGGTTCTGTCACTCGATCGTTCTCGTTACCAGCCCACTCGTCAGTTTTCACCACGCCGGAATTAATTGCGATTACCAAGGCGATGTGCTTCATAGAAGTTGGTGAGGAATATTCACACGCCATTTTTACAGAAACACTGAGCAGTCTCTCTGCACTGAAGTCTTTTTATCCATCATGTCGCCTTATACAGGACATTTTATCACGCCTGACACAATTGAATCGGGTTGGAAAGAGAGTTGCGCTGTGCTGGATCCCCAGTCACGTCGGTAGTGTGGGCAACGAGTTGGCCGATGCCGCTCCCAAGCGAGCAGCGGTGGCAACATATACCCGGTTTTTGCCTATCCCTCCCAGAGATTTCTACCCAGCAGTCAAGATCTTCCTGAGAAGCAAATTGCAGCGCTGTTGGGACCAGGTGGGCGGCCATGAGTTCAGGCCGATAAAAACCGAGTTGGGCTTGTGGTCGTCATGCTCCCGCAGTGTGCGGTGGGTAGAAGTGGCTTTATGCAGGTTGCGCATTGGGCATACGTATGCCACCCATGGCCATCTGTTGCATGGAGCCGACAGAGTCCTATGCCAGCGGTATGGTGCCGTTCTCACTGTCCACCATGTCATTGTATCATGTCCGTGCCTCATCGAAGAACGACGACGTCACTTTGGTCCGCAGGCTTCGTTCCTGACGATTAGCGATGTGCTCGGGGACAGTTCCTCGTTTCTTGATTCAAAACAACTCTTTTCGTTGTTAAAAGGTATTGGTTTTCAAGTTATTTTCACACCATACTAATTAAGTAAAAGCATCGTTATGGGCGCAAAATGACCATTGCAGTCGACGCGCCGTAAAACAACAACGATCTTCCCCGATGCCCTGTTGGTTGCTCCAAGGACTCACCTTGTCGAGGAAGACCATCCCGATGCCCTGTTGACTGCTCCAGTTGTCAGCGCGCATCATCAGCTCACGCAGAAAGTCTTCGTGAATCTCCAGGATTTCAGGAATCTGTTTGCGTATGTCAGAGAACGAAATTACCATGTGTGAGTAGCCGTACACAGGCAGTAGAAGAATGGGAACAATAGGTCCCCTCCAAGGCAGCGAAAAAAGTACAATTTCACCTCGTTGCGCCTTGGGTTTCATGCAATTGATAGTGTATTTAGAGCTCGGCCCTTCCAAGAAACGCTGTTAGACAAGCTTTTGTATGCGGTTCACTAAAGTGGCAAAAATGTGCTTACAAACGTATTAGCGTTCGGCTGATGCAGTAGTTCCTAGCTACGAGTTTTTAACCCTGTTCCGGACGGATTCCCATCACCCCTATTCTGTGGGTGGGCCGTGGCTTCCCGCCCGAGATCTCGCGAACCACTGGCCGATAAGAAATGGTTTTCGTTTTCTGGCAACGTGATTTGCAGTTACAGAAAATACGATCTGAAAGTAGAATACGGCGTAACAGGGTGAACACGCCAAAATTCAGGACATTTTCGATCAGACACAGTTATCCCGGTTATCTTCTGATTTTGACGCATACAATGCAGAAAGATGGACAGTGGCTTCAGATGGATGCATAATTAATATGTTCAAAATTTGAAAAATCGCAGACGTATCCACGACATGCCAAGCGAGATGGTAACAAAAGTCATCAAAACGCATTTTTAATTGGATGTATGTAGAGCAAATAGAATGGTGCTCCCTTTTGTCATGAGGAAACCTTTGACATAGGCATGTCCAGTTCTCCAAAGGGGGGAAGCAGCAACACTTGTTTGGAGCGTGACCCACCGTCAGCCGCGTTTGTCAGTTGACGGGCCTGCTGCTGGTGGTCACTGTCTCCAGTTATTTTTGAACACGCGCTTGGGCGGGACGAATTTAACCGTTCTGAGTTTTTCAGAATAATTTGAGAACGGTGAGATGTAGCAACACCAAGCTATGCCTAGTTGCAGTCAACTGAAAAGCCAATCTTTTGCTTTGAAAAAGATAAGGCTATTGAGATCGCTAGCCTGCACCACGCCAAAGTCAGTCCATCGTCGTCAGCGGGGACACTTTATGGAACCTGTTAAGCTGATGCTTCAGTAGAGTGTAAGACGACCTCAGACAATTTTAGACAGTTTCTAACGCAATAAGACAAACACAGTTATGATAACAACTAAGCTGATAAATCTGGGGTTATGTACGAAATCAGACCAAGGTCAAAAGCAGACAGCTTTGTACTGGAAAACTTGCTTTACGAGGTAGCTTCTGACGCTGAAAATAGGTTTTGATGCCTGAGGTAGCTTTGAAGCTCGAGGTAGCTTTAGGTAGCCTTTGACCCTTGAGGTAGTTCTTGGCTCCTCAATCACAGCGATGTTTTTGGCTCCTCAATCGCAACGATCAGGCAAGGTATTTCGCATTCGTCAATGTCCGGAAAGGTCACTAACAAACATGGCCTCGATCAACGATTTGCTTTAGAGAACATGCTTTCGAGGGTACTTTTATCGATTGCAGCTCAATTGGAGACCTTCTGTACATTGCAAGTGTCTTATTCGCGGTAGGCATCAGCATTTCTGTGGGCGCCAGACAGTGCGCACAGTTTCGGGTAGATGACTATCCAAACATGATCGCCAGATGCCCGCTTTCATTGGATGCCCGCTTCCCCCCCCCCCCCCCCCCCCCCCACCCACCCACCCACCAACACCGGATCCTGAAACTACCCCTGTGGATTTCATGCACCCGAAGTTTTCACACAACGCGTAAAACATACATTGATGCAACGGCATAAAAAGAGGTGGGATTCTCCCACCTGCCCGGAATAGAACCAGAGTGTTAGGTCGCTTCAAACGCCTGCGATCATGGTCCCCCTGCACGTCTGCAGGTCCGGACGTCATGGCTTTGGGACTCGGGATCCACATCAGAGGTGGCAAGACGTGGGGTGTTCAGGTCCTACCATATGGAATATATCCAGGAGAGTGTTTGGGTCCATGAGGGCACCCAGTTCCGGTTCTCGTAGTTTTCTGGAGTACTGAAACACGCCAAGAGACCAGGGATGTTAGCATGAAGGAAAAGTACAGCCACCATCAACCTCGGAACAAAAACAGACGGGTTGCTGGTCCTGGGCGCTTATTATGCGCTGTCTCTTAATGAAATCACTGCATAATAGTGGATAAGGCACGTGAGCAACTTTTGGACAACTATCCCAGCATCTGGTACGTGCACACGGTTCCGTGAAATACGTACAGGAAGACGAGAGCTTTGAACGCAAGAACCTTTCAAAGTATGATCTCAAAGAAACCTTTACGGGCTCGGAAACAAGGCACTCACTATCTATTCGTGAGCCAATTCATCCCTCAGTGACCTAAAATCAAACTCGCCACGCTCCGTACTCACACTCATGAGGAGCCGAAGGGACTCCACGTAGGACTGCTCCGTGTCCAGTAGCTCTCCGATTATGAACAGCCTTCGCCCCTGCCGAAGATAAAACGCCGTACATAAGGAAAATAATTCATGCATGGCGTCGACAGCCCAACAGTGAAGCGCGTAGTCAATGCAGACGATCGCAACATTTTTGTCCCAGCTTGATTGCAGACCTGCTGAATGTTGCGTAAATCGAAGCCAGAACAACTTGACTGTTAAATTGTAAGTGCGATTTAGGCACCTGTAGCAAATGCCACGCACGTATAAAGTGGAGCTTCCCATACCAATCATGCCAATCTATTTACCCGAATCACTGGTATTTTGAAAACAACCGTCGATGGATTTTCTTTTGTTCGGAACTCGATCCTGAAAATATACGCTAATTGGGGGTGCTGTTTTAGAGATAAAAATGTGTCGGCATTTGGCATGTTTTGAAAAGGAGTTATCTTTTAACGACCGTATCTAAAAAGCTATTCATACCCAACATGAACAACGGAATAGGCTGAGCAACACAACATTTTAATTATGAAGATGTCCAAAGATATCAGGATTGCTTATATTAGCTAACTGGTATTTTCAAACGTGAGTTATTACATTATAGTATCCCATTTATTTCAAAATAGCGTATCATTTTTTTGGTTCTCGTACATATCTTTGCCTCTGCAGCTCATTAAAAAACACGTAGGCACTCCGAACCGGATCATCCAGCGAGCCTCAAGTCGGGCCTGCCCGAGCGAGGCGGACAGGCCGCCCGCTTTCCAGGGAACGGTGGCTGAGGGGGGGTCGGCGGCCCGCTGTCTGTCTGTCTGTTCTGTCTGTCTGTCTGTCTGTATGTCTGTCTGTCTTGTTGTCTGTCTGTCTGTCTGTCTTGTCTGTCTGTCTGTCTGTCTGTCTGTCTGTCTGTCTGTCTGTCTGTCTGTCTGTCTGTTCTGTCGTCTGTCTGTCTGTCTCTCTTTCTTTCTGCTGTCTGTATGTCTGGTATGGTCTGTCATGCTGTCGTTATCTCATCCTCCCTCTCTCTCTCTGCTCTCCTCTCTCTCTCTCTATCTCTCTCTCTTCTACTATTCTCTCTCTCTCTCTCTAGCTACTCTCTCTCTCTCTCTCTCTCTCTCCTCTCCTTCTCTCTCTCTCTATCTCTCCTCTCTCTCTCTCTCTCTCTCTCTCTCTCCCCCTTTTGTTACCACGTGTGGATAGCATCTCTTCCAGTATCCTCTTCAGCCGAGTCCATTTCATTATCCGCAAGCCGCGATGCCAGGATTTCCTACTGCGTGCTTCACGGCAAGCCGTAAACCGGAAGTTGGTTTCCGCCCATACCAGGTAGACATCGCCAGTAGCCGGGACTGTCCATTCGCTGACCGGTTCAGATGTGGATAAGTAGTATGTCACTACGCTATATTCATTCATCGTTCGCAATCAGCGGTGAAACGCGCGACTTCACTATACGAGCCGCGCACTGCGCAGAAGTGTGTCCAATTCTTCTGCCATCTCCGATTGTTATTTAGACAAAGAAAGATGGATATATTCGCAAACGGTTTTTATCAAAGGACTTGAAGGAGGCTCTTGGTTTCAGCATTTGTTGTTAAGAAAAGCACATACATAAAGCCAACAAACTGTATCACGGTGACGCGTATCTGCAAAGTTAATCTGTTCGCATGCTATCCTAAGCATCCTTCTGTAAAAAGTGCAGGTTCTGCAGACCAGGAAGCGGCTTTTGTACGCGCGGTACCGAAGCAGATCGAGATGATGCCAATACAGTTGCGTTTTGTACGCGCGGTACCGAAGCAGATCGAAATGATGCCATACAGTTGTGTTATGGTGCACAGCGTTGGATCCCACACAAAGGCTCTTGCCGGGCACTGCATGCTCCCACTTAAAACAGAGGACTTCAGGCAGCCAATGTGCATTGGTGCACTCCGAGTCCGAACGAGTCGGGCTCTAACCGTTTCCGGATAAAAGTAACAATATGATCAGAATTTGTATTTGTAACAGTTGGACGTAGTCGGATTACCAAAGGTCTTTGCCAGAATGGTCATCATTTATTTCACCCAGCTTTACATCATATTTCTTCTGCGTGTGGTTAAAAACCTCACATAATCCTTATTTTTTAAATAATCTGCTGAAAAATGTCGTTCTAGGCCTCTGTTGGGTGTCTGCCGTTTAGTCTGTGTTTTTCCAAAGAGTTTGGTATGCAACTACTGTGAAGAGAGGACCAAAGTGAGTTATGTGATCGTTACCTTCGCCTTATTACGCTACACCTCGACTGCGTCACATACCCGACACCAGGGGAGAAGTGCTTGGGCTCTGTGCGCCGAAGGAATGGTTCAGAAATTGCTGCATGAATCGGTATGAAAATTTCCAGCGCATTTTTCGTTGATTGTAGTATAACAATGCATAGCAAATCTAGACTCGTACTTCTTGTAAAACTTAGATAATACAGTAGTAATAGCCTTCATCCTCGGAGAAGAACCAGAGGAATGGAGATATAGATGCGTTGAGCAACATGCCTTTATAAAAACGAATAGCAAAAGTGAGCTTAAAATTGCCTGCCAATGTTTCTGCTCGATTTTTCAGCTTTTTTATAGCGAGCCACAATTTTTATAGGACACCAACATTCAGGGGCTTAAACAAGGAGCAATTGTCAGCCATTACTACGATGCAGTGCATATTTAAGCAGCAACTAGAAAACGCGAAAAATGCGAATACGCAAACGAATTCACGTAAACATACAACACGCATCACGCATCATTCAAACATGCAAGCGAGTTGAAGTACATAGGCACCACCCATCACGCATCAATTATACGTGCAAGCGATTTCAATTAAACAGGCATTGCACATGACGCGTCAGGCATCACTTGCACGTTAAAACGATTGTAAGCTAGCACTCACCACACATCAAAGCACATATCACGATCGCATAATCGGTAATGATGAGCCCTGTACGTTACGATTTGGTCGCCGACTTTTATAAGAATGAATTTACTTATTTTCCTGTCCGGGTATCACTGCGCTCTGCAGATGGCCGAGTCCTAAGAGGGGCATAGAGTCCGCACCTCCCTGGATTTCAGCCTGAACGTGTTTTGCCAAAAATGTGGTCACCGAAAGGAGTACTCCCTGTTTTGTTTTAGCGCCTCGAAGGTGTTCATTACATCTAAAAAAAAAAAAAAAATAGGGCGCATGGACTCCACAATATAGAATATGACCCTTCCATGTTAATCACACAGTTAACACTTAATTTTGTAAACCACATTTTTTGGGCGTGCAAAGATATGGCGTTCAGATGTGGCGTTCGTGAGCACAATTCCCAAGAGAAGTAGACATCAGCTGGCCCCCAATCAATGTTGAGCATACTGTGAAATTTCCAATCACGAATCGCGTTTTGTGCTTTATTACATAAGAAGTTGGACATACCTGCAAGCTATAACTAAAACAAGACACGTGATCGAAGCACTTAAGAAAACACCATAACCGAGTATGCGAATGTTAGTAAGCCTCTTAAACTTACGAATAAAAACATCGCGATGAAAGGCCAAAACACATAATGATATTAAGTGTGATATTTTGTGCGTAGTATGCCTGTCTCATCATTAAGTACATATTATGATCTTATGTGTATTATGACATTATGAGCACATAGCGATATTTGTTTCCGTTAACACTTTCAGTACCCCATTGCTACCTCTCGGTGAGTTTGAAGTACTGCAAATGAATCAAAGGACGACAGATTCACACGGCTAGTCTGGCAGCAGCTCAATGTCATGCAACCGTTTGATGACGCAATCAAACAATGTCTCTCGGGGTAAATTCCCCACTCGACATAAAACTCACCAGGTCATCCCCATGTGACTTAAGGTCGTGAAACTCACATATCTTATAGAGAAAGGCACAACAGTCACGATGACAGTCTCCGTTTTGTTCTATCTTTTTTATTGAGACATTAACAACGGCTGAAGTTGGTCAATTTTGCGAATTTAAACTTCTCTAAGTTACACTAACGCACCCTAAAGTTAGGACCCTGGGGTCTCACACAGCTAATTTACTCTCTAGGTGAGACCCTAGAGTCATTTTCATTCTAGGTTACACCCATTCTTTCGGATGCCTTTTAACCGAATTTTTCAATCGCATGCCCGGGTACTACCTTTTCCCCACAGGCTTGTACGAAAGTTTCAATGGGACCTTAATTTGCACCAAATAGTACTTCAAATATTTCTAACCATCCGATTTACTTCGTTCAAAGATGAAAGATCCCAACGAGACAAATCGATTTATGAAAAGAAAAGAAGAATCAAATCGGACAAAAGAGACTTCAAAATTTTGGAAAGTATGAAAACCCCCACGAGCAGAATTTGCCGAGAAGATTTCCATGTTGTAAAGTAATCGACGTGGCTTGTCACGGAGCAGTTTTCGGTGGTCGAAATTACAAAATCGGTTCAAGGACACCTGAGACATGAGCAAAAATGTCGATTTTTGAAAAAAGTCCGCTGCACATAAGTGTTAATTACGGAATCTATTCAACCAATTTTTGTGTTTAAAACGCCATTGGGTGTGCAATTCAACGATTCAAAACGCTATTGCTTTTTTAAACGATTCCAGGTAAAAAATGTTACAGTCAAGAAAGTGTTCTTAATTTTTAAAAAACTTAAGGCTAAACCATTTTCAATGTTTTAGTATATTATGCTGTTATCAATGCTCAGCGTTGTGGGTTTTTATTTCAGCTAATCTACCGATTAAAAGCCGAAGAAACTCCAAAAGTGTTGAGTGGTTTGTTGGCTCCGATTAAACTATTCAGGAAATTCTATTCAGGTTGGCACCCTGTGGAAAACGTTTCAAACGCTAATTTACTTTAATTCGAGTCCGCTCGAATTCTGTCTGTATAATTTTTGTTCCAAAAAAACATCAGGTTTTGTCTTTATCCTAATCCTTTATAATTTTCACTGACATTAAATGTTCAACATGGCACAACAAATCAAATTTTGATTAGACCTGGACGGCTTAATAATTAAGCCAAAGCTTCAATAAGGGTATCAACAGAATGCCCACAGCATGGTCTA